TTGGTCCAATAGTCGGAAATTAAATTGTGAAAGATGTAGGAAACTGGTGGGGGGGAGGCAGGCATATCTAGTGAGAAAGAAAAATGGAAAGACTTGTGTCAATGTCAGGTTATGAATACAATTCTCAATGGTAATAGAAGGATTTGTAGAGGTGATTTATTTGGAGTTTTTAAAAATATGTTTTAAAATCCCTTCCAGAATTAGTAATATCCATGGTTTTCAATGTTATCATGCTTTAAGTCTAACTCTTAGAAGACAACAGAACATAAATATTTCTAGAAATGCTTGCTGGTTTGGAAAGGAAGCATTCCCATGCACTGACCTTGAGAAGGCACTGACTTCTAAGATGATAGGGAAAGGTGGGAATGTCACTGGAATAAAAGCATAGTAATAGTGTGAAAGGAAGCAAAAAAACAACATAAGTGCAGTAGGGACATGAAGTGATATATTGGAAAAAGAAGTAATTTGGGGGTACCGTTTTGTTCTGTGCTCGTATTTTTACACATGTGCGTAGTATTTTGTGTAAAACCTGTGAGAAAGATTCCTGAAAGAATTCTGCTTACTGCTTCTGGGCTKGATGGTGCAGCAGGTCCAGAGCTTAAGCTAGGAAAATACTGACGTAGGCTACAGTCCTATTTCGATAAGAAAAGCTACAAAATTGGCTCTCTTAAACACTTGCGTAGCTTTAAAGTGGTAATATACCTTTTCTTCTTAAGAAATGGGTAGTTTCAAGATTACTTTTCTGTTGTTCTTCCTTAGTGTTATGTTTTTTTCTCTAGGAGATATCTTCCCCTCTTAAAAAAGATCCAAGCGCAAGTGGAGGCAGAGTGCATTAGAGAGCGTGCCATTAAATATAACCTCAGGTTGCGCACTTCAAACGAGACGGCTTTTCCAACCTATCATTAAAGCACAATGGGACTTAGATCAACATTATGAGCAGCAGCCCCTGAGGCTTTAGCTGTACTAATACAATAGTCTTAGTCTAAACATTTTCATAGTATACTCACTGAATCTGGCAAATAAACTTTTGAGACTTGCACATTAATTCTCYTTTCTGTTCAATGCAAGTTGAAGTTGCCCATTTGAGTAAAATGAAGTCTTTTTGGAAAAAGTGCTTAATTGTACCTGTGTATGTGTGCTTATCTAATTCTGGAAAGAGCTCATTTTTTGGTATTAGTTGTCATTATATTATGAAAACTGTTTGGTGTCCCTTAAACAGGGATGTGTGCATGCACACACCTGCACACAAACACACAGAAAAATGCTTGAAAAATTCATGTGTAATCTTGTGAGTTATTTGAGGGCAATCCAAATGAGGAAAAATATTTGTAGTGTGTGTGTATATATACATATTATATATATTATTAGGGTGATAGAATAGGTAACTTAATTACCAGTTGAGATTATATGTAAGGCAGTGATAACTGTGGAGCCTGCAGAAAGCCTGTCTGCATTTGTTTTTATTCATATAACTCTCGTAGAGCTATGAACAGGAGATGTTTAAACAAAGCAGCACACTATCCTGACTTTCTATAAATGTTGTTATAAATGTTATATTTATAAAAGTTATTAGCTGCTAATCAATATTATCTTTCCTGTACTCGTTGAGTAGCTTCTTTCCTGGTTCAGAAAGGAACCAGAAAAAACTTATATTCAAAACTGGCAAATATTTTTTTCTATTCTCCCCTAGTGAAAATGTTTCACTGAAAAAGTTTTCCATCTTTAGAACTTCCTAACTTGTAATAACCTGAAGTCACTCCAGTGGTGAATCTCTTTGAAAACACAGATAGTATCATACCTAAGATTTCTATTACCCGGAGTTACTCTGAGATTCCTRAAAAAGACCTTTCCCACAGTATCTATCAAGTCTAAAGAAGGTGTAACAGCAGCATATCATACACTACTGCAACAGACTCTAGATAATGAGATTAATTTATTGCTATTGACTATCTTGGGCTGATAAATGCTGTATAATTAGCAAATATCTTGTGGTGGGTCAATACCCACATATGTTCTACATTTTTTCCCCATATGCTCATGATATTTTTATGTTCAGTGATACCTATTAATATAGTAATAGATGGTGATAGCTAAGGTATTGTAATATTTTAGTCAGAGTAGCAATCATTGATTTACATTTATAGAAATAGTATTTGGCATTCAAAACTTTAACATGTTATACTGACTTAAATACTGTGTGTTATTAAAATGAGAGGATTGATTTTGGAGGTGTTTTTTTTTAATTCCAATATATTGCAAAGAGTCCAGCATGTTGTCATCTTTGTATTTTATATTAATTAGACGTTAATGGTAGCTGTCTCTCATACTAACAGTTCATCTGAACTAACAGTTCATCTGAACCAGCACACATGAATACCAGGTACTGAAATGAATGGAGCTCACTTCTGAATTCCTTCTTTTCTAGTCAAAGTGGGCATATATCATCAAACAGGAAATATCAAAAATATTACACAAGTCTTTCAGAAACTCACATACTTGCATATACTTTGTAATATTTTTTTCTTGAAGAAAGGGTTATTAAACTTATTTATCCAGAGGGAGAAATGGAAAAATAGATATATGTAATACGAAATAACTGTTGATCTGTAGAGCAGATCATTATTTTTTCTGTTCCTGTGACTTTTTCTGTTTGACTGCAGGGTTTTTTTCTGTCACTTAGGTGGAGTTTTGAACATTGTTTCCAGACTCTTAATTTATTATTATTGTGGAATGTGTGAATATAGTAATAACCATATGTATTTGGTGAAAAATTGAATGTTCAAAAGTCAGCTTTTCTCATGTAATACTAAAATTAGTAGGAAAGGTGAGAAATCGTTTTGTAGATGTAATTTTTGACAAGTTGGGATCTGATTGTTTGAAAGAGTGAGAAATCTATTCAGCTACTGAATTAAGAGAACTTGAAGTCTGGCCGGTACAGCCTTGCGTCTGTAGATGAAATGAAGTTAGATACAGATTGCTTTAGCATATGTTTGCTTTAAAAAAGCGTTATCACAACGGATCTTATAAATYAATCCCATTTGTATAGGAAGCTCAAATAGAGGGATAAAAAGAGAGCACATTACTTGGCTAATGCCATTTTACCAGCTAACTAAGGTGCCTTTATGAACGCTTATTGCTGTGTTATATTCATAATGTCCAGAATAATTTGTGTGCTTATTGTTACATGTATAATGGAATRGTCCGTTAGCTATTCAAGAACAAAAGAGTTTCCCTATTTGTATATTATGCAGCCTTTCCCCGTGTCACGCTGTGTTATGCAAATGTTATGGTTTTTCACTTCAATATCTGTCCAAGGAATAGAAAAGGAGATGTGTGTGAGAACATGTGTTTGGAAGGCTTAAGTGAGGAACAAAACCAGCTAGAATGAAGGATGAATTGGATAGTAGTTTTGGAGAAGGGACAACAGGGACTTGAAAATAATAAGAAATAAAAGGAGGAAAGGAAAGACGGGCTCTAATGTGTTMCTGGAGGCATGTGAAAGGTAAAGCAGGATGTAGTAGGATTAGCTCAGAATTTGAAAGATTCATGAATTACAGAGCTTTTGTAATTTGCAAACAAAAGACTGAGGAAACAGAACAATTTTTAGGTTTTTAGTGATTTAAAGAAAAGAGAAGCAATTTAAGAAAACTTTTTTTCTTAGATTGACAATGGTTTCTTTGCTTTTTCTTGGAATTACTTCAGTGTTTCAGAAATTTAGGGAATCGTGAATTGCTGTTGATTACATGGAAATATCACCTTTGAATTTCTCAAAGTACCTGTTTAATCATCTCTCTGTGTTTTTGTTCCTTTGGAATGTGGTCTAACATTAAGTGCAATATTTTTGCAATATTTTTTAGTTGTCCACAATAGAATTGACACGAACCTTAATTTTCTTGGAGGGGCAGGGGGGAAATATAAGTATTTTTCACTACTTGTACGTATCTACTCATTGCATAATTCATTAGAACTGAGAACCAGAAAGTGCAAGGCTAGAATGACACTACATAAAAACCTCCAAGACTTCTTTCTTGCTAGTTTTTAATGTTCCCAAATTTAAAATGCCTATATTCTTTTAAAAGAAGCTGCTTGGCTCAGCTAGAAAAAATAAGAGTAATTTATATTAAGACAAGGGAGAAGATCCTTTATATTTGCAAGACCAGAAGCTCCTTTGTATTTGTAAGGCCAGAAGTTTTCTGACTGCTTGTTAATTACACTGAGGTAATGTAAACTAGAAATCGATGTAATTTGGTGTAAACAAACACTAATGTGTCAGGCTAGATGCTGAACAGAAGTTACTGCCTTTCTTCAAGATCTAACTTTTTTTTTTTAATCAATTTATGGTGCTAAGACATAAGAATATAGCATGTGAAATGCTTGCTCTGAGCCCCCAGTTCACCTTAATTAAAACCAGCTGATGCTATCAGCTGGCATAGGGGAAATAGAATTAATGGGAGATGTGCARGGTGACCAAAGTAGTGGCTATTAATAAAAGTGCTTGCTAGGATGTGGCTTTTCCATTGGACTTGACAGAGAAGGGACCAGGCCTGTACATACTGATTTTAGCTGAGCAAGGCTATGAGCTGTCATTTTAGAAAAAAGCCTGATGAGATCATATAGCTTATTGAGCAATCTTTCTGTAGAGATAGAGGAGTAATAGTAATATTGAATATGATGATGGCAAAGCAGTTATATGTGGTCCTGGTAACTAATGAAGAATGCCAAGAATCAGCTTCATTTGACCCAGGTGCATGAAAGGAGCATGAGGACTGTTAGAAGATAACCATACTGATAAGAGATTGGAAGGACTTGTTAGTCTGAGRGGATGAAGTTTGAGAGCTAATTCAGTGGCGCTGTGATTCTAYGCAGCAGATGCAAATTAGGGTTGAGTTATTTCAGCTGAGGGATGATTCATAAGCGTGGCTGAGTATTTACAGATTGCTTATTTCTGAAGCACATTTTGACCTTCCTGAAGTCCTGAGGTATGTTTGCAAGGAACAGAAACAAGACACATCATTTGTGGTAAGATGATCAAATATCCTTTTTGAAAAGGACASTGTGAAAGTCTTCCTGAAGGAAGATTTTACTTACTCTTTGGTCATGTTTCCGAGTCTCTACCACTTGCTTCGGAGATCAGGAATCACGATTTTTTCTTGTCCTTCCTGGTGCCTAACTTGGTTTCCAAATTTGTGCTTTGCCTTCCTCTGAAAACTAGCTACATCTAGAGATGTGCCATAGGATACTCTAAAGAACTGCCTGTTCTTATTTGAGGGAAAGTGCTTGTTTGAGGGAAAGTCCCTCACATTTTTAATTTTTCTGAACATCTGCTCAGGCTTAAYATAATCACTAATTTGGGGGTTATAAAGGAAACATATCTATGTTATAGTAACTGTTGGKCAGTTTGTTGGTTTTCTTTCCTCTGGGGCAGGACATGCTCATTTGCCCTGGGATTGCCGGGGAAAGTTACATGACAAATTACAGAGAGCGTAGAATGGTGATCCAGGTTCTCCCTATAAATGTAAAGTATGTAATGTATGCATTCGCAACAAGACTTACTGTTCCCGAGGCTATGAAAACAGAACTAACACTGTAAGTACTTGCATTCTCCAAAAATGATTAGGATTATGTTTTCACACACTACTGTGTTTTCTAAATACTAGAAATCATTGTTTCTTTATCTTGTCTATAGCATAAATTAGTTTTGTTTAGCAGGAAATACCTACTCCCAGTCCTTTAGATATATGCGTGTCCATCTGTATGTGTGTGATTAGCTTTAATAGGTTCAGTGAATTCATAAACTACAAATCAGCAGACATGTTTGCACAGTCAGGATCCTGGTGTTTCAGGCCATCCTCTAAATACTCTAGTAGTTTTATGTTAAAATTTAAATGAATGCAAATGAAATTAAATGCCTTATGCCACAGCAGATCTGAACATCTCCTGCACTTCGAATAAATTTTACTTAGTGCTTTGTACCTGCTTAACAACTAATAATCCCAATTAGTTATAAAATACTAAGTATGACTTGTTGCTAATGACAACAGCATGTGACAAATGATGTTCCCTTTGCTAGCAAAGACAGGCTGAGGGGAAGAGCTGGTAAGAGTTACACAGAGACAACTTAAATTTCCAGTGCCTTTCTTTTTAATTCCTCTGAACTTGAATGCTTGTGTGTGTGTGTGGCAGATTTCAAAACAGGCACAAGCAGTTCTTGATTTTGTAAAGACTTTTTATCCCCAATATTTGTGGTAATAGGTAGCCTAATTAAAAGTCAGCAGACTCATCAGAATATTTGATAAATATTTTGGATTCTTCATTTTTGTTTCTTCCCTTTTAGCAAGTGGTAGTTCTTATACCTTGTAAATAAATGAACTTGTGAAAAAAAAGTTTCTAAGATTTTACTTGTAGGGTATACTCATTTCAAGCAAAATTAGCTCTTTATCTGTACTATACAAAGTTGTGTCTTTCAGTAATGTTTTAAATCTGCCTGGAAGAGTGCTGAGCCTAGATGCTGCAGTATGTCCAAGATGTGAGCTAAATTTGATTTTTTTTCAAATGGAAAAATCCATGCTTGGTGCTAAAAATATTTACAAGGATCAGGACGAAATTACTAGCACGAGTGACCAATGCACAGTGTATGTGCAATCCCAGTATAGATGGATCTTAAGGCGGGCAGCAGAATTCCATCTTCCATGGCCGAACCGCTCGCCTAATTTAACTTTTGTCATAGGTTATCATACAGGTAACATTAAGGGTTTTTGTTGGCAGATTTTTGTTAAATTTTTTTTATTTTTTTTGAGGGAGTAGGGAAACTTTAAGACACTGAACTGCAGTTATTTTTTACTTTCAATAATATGAATAGTTTAAGGTTTTTTGGTGTTAAAATTCCAAAAAAAAACCTGGCACAAATGTCTCTGCCTAGAGTAACATAACTGACATGTTCTGTACTACAGTTTTGTGATGATTTTTCTTTTTATAAAAGGGAATGAGTCTCTCTGGATGACAATGTCTTTCAAACTCAACTTTTAAACAGGCTTAAAATATGCAAGAAGAATTTCTTTAAACATTTTCTTCACGTAATTCATATTCATTATTCTGCAGCAAATGTTTCTTTCAAGAAAAGAAGGATTTATGGAAAACATGTTTAGAAATTTTAACTAAGTCTAACAAATTTAAATGTAGATGTGACCAAATGTGCTTTTAAACTTCAGGAGCCTTCTGAATATGAAAGAGAATAAATTGTTGGCACGTTTTCATACCATCCAACTGCTACGTAAGTGGCTAAAGCTTTTCCTCCTCCTTTTCTCCCTTTTCCCACTTCTCTTCTTCACCAGACTCCCCTCACACCCTCCTCCCCTCTCTCCAAATAAAAGAAAGAAAAACCTTGTACTGAAAGAGTAGACTTGCAACTTCATCTTACAGGGTTTGGAAAAAAGGTGTCTTGCATTGTTTCACATGTCCTTTATCATGTTTTTGCTCTTCAGAACTCCTTTCTACAGGCCTTTCTAATTGTTTTGTGGTGTACAAGAAATGCACCCTTTTCCATCCATTGCTTGTGATCTCTTCCCTTCATGATTCTGCAGAGAAATCTTTTTTCTTATTACATAATTTTCTTAAATTTGTATTCTTTAAGATCTTGTCATGAGTGCTATGTTGCTTGAGAGCCTGAAGCAGAAAAGCAGATGCGAAACTACTGGCTTGGCATATATTAAAGAAAAAAAAGACGGGGATGGTGGTTAGAAGGGGAATCGCTTGTTTTCATTTAAACAATTAATTTAAATACATTTTTGCCAAAGAATTTTGTTAACAATAGTAATGCTCAGGAAATATTGAAAACCATTTTTTTCATAATCTGAGATGATTGATTCCAGCCAAAATGAGCCTTTTTACCATTTCTCCTTTTGACCATGTCTACCAGGGCAGAGGAACATATCCCTTCTCTTGTTATGAATTAGGCTTGCTTAATATGGCTTGTTCATAACTTTATTGACTTTTCTTTTGCTGGATTATCTTAACCTGAACCAACTCACTGTATTGTGATTTTTGTCAAATAGAAAAGTTCATAACTCATTTTGTTGTTCTAAAGGCTTATCTCCACTGTCCCTGTTTTCATTTCTTGCAAATGTGTAGCCTTCCACATTGAGCAACTTGGTATAGAAAATTCTTTCCATTGACAACTTAAAATTCAGAGTTTGATTTAACTGGGAGATAAAAGTTTAATGCTCTATATCTTTTTCTGTACCCAAGAGCCTTAGCTTATACTTTGATTAATTATCTGAAATGACTTTGGATGGATTAGGTAGATGTAAATTTAGCTTGGCAGTAGTCTGGGCTRCCTCATTGAGGTAAGTTTTCAGAACATGGAAATGCACTGATCAGCTGCCCCAGGCTTATTCTTAAAGAGCTGTTACCACCCCTGGGGGTACTGTTTTGTGTGACCTTCAGCTTCTCTTTTAAAAAAAGTAGAAAAAAAAAATGTAGAAAAAAAAAAAAAAAAAAAAAAAAAAAAAAAAAAAAAAAAAAGATTTTTTTTTTTCCTGTTATAGCCTGTCCATACTGAAGAACTCTTCAACATAATCAGATGTCTCTGGGTTTCATAATCTATTTACTTGATTTTTGGCCTGGCCTGGTTTGAAACAATGTGCACTAGGCCTGAGTACAGTCGTGCTTGTATACATAGGTCCACATGTGTAAAAGATATAAAAGTAAATGTATTTGTTACTTGAAAATATGCCCATTTACCTGCATATTAAGCAGATGTAGTTTCTGACACTGGAAAAATATCCCTTACAAAATATGGAGAAACTGTACTACTGAATCATGATATATTTAAAGGTTTCATAAATGTATTTGTGTTATGTATAGGGGGACACATGGTTTAATGCATATGCAAGAATGAACACTTTTAACATTTAGCATAAAGTTTATACTGACAGCCAAAAGCAAATGGCAGATGTTCTACTGTAACAAACAGCTAGTGATAAAGAAATTGCCCCAAGCTCAGATTTTCAAAAGACAGTATAGGTGTTCAGTAGAGATTTGTAGCAGTTAGTTGCTAACAAGTACTAATTATGTTTTTTTTTCTTTCTACAGGATAGATTTTAAGTCAAACTTTCAAAATAGGAAGCAGAGTAAATAATATCTGCCTGTCAGGAAAGAGGACCACTGTTCCTTAATTCTATTTGGGTTTGGACCTTTTATACTGGATAGTCACTGCAAATTTGGAATGTGAAGCTGGCTCTCTGTCTTGCCTTTAAAACAAACAAAAAATCAAAACCCAAGAACAACAGAAACACAACGCACACATCGTAAATTCTACGATGTCTTGAAATAGGGGCAAGAGAGACATAAATGAATGCAGAGGTTTGCTGTGAAATCCCAGTTATTTAAAAATTCATTTGATAGACAAGCAAGACATTTCAGTTTGTTTGTTTGGCCTCATAACCATTTTGAATCTGGTCACTAGGAACTACTGGGAATACAGACAAAATAAGGGCTCCTTTTCCCCATGAAGGCTGCAGATCAATTTTCAAAGTTGCCATTAAAACCAGAAAAACACACTTTGAAAAGCTCTACTTATTAAATAACCCCATAACTGCAGAGACACTCCCACGGGCTGCAATACTGGATGGAGTTGGGCCCAGCTCTTCGACTGTGTCTTGCCGTCTGTTCCTAAGCGYGCTGTGTGCTCCTTGCACTTGTCTTAATTGTCCTTGAACACATGAAAACCTTTTTGCTTCCCCTGAAAATCAGTATAAAGCTTCTTGTAAACCTGTTTTTTGCATCATCTTTCTGATTGCAAGGTCCTGACCAGGATTCAGGCATGGGTGCCAAAAAGATGTGAGGTTAGAGTAACATGTGTGATTGGCTCCTAGTAGGTTTTTTTTTCTTTCCTTAGATTGTACACTCAGTAAAGACACTTACCAAGTGCCTGTAAGGACTTATTACAAACAGTAGGAATATAGAAAGAGAAATGGAGGTGTGTATTTCCTCCTATCACACATGCAACTGCTGTTAGAATAAAAAAAAAAAAAAAAAAAAAAAAGCTAGAGAGTAGATTCTGAGGCCAGCCAATAAAAACCAGTGCAAAACTTGCTTTTTTTTTTTTTTGTTTGTTTGGTTTTTTTTTGTTTTTTGTTTTGTTTTGCTTTTAGGCATCTTGCTCTACTAGTAGCAGCAAAAGCTCTGCAGGCTTTATGAATTTGAATAAACTGTGAATTTGCATATGGAAATCCTTGCTAGGTTGAAAGGAAAACACATTAACTAATCTTTACAGCCTCTGACAGAAAAATGAAGACCTCACAGCTTTCATGGGTATCATGTGGACATATGGAACAACTGAATAGTCAGTAATGCAAATGAAGCTAACAGTGGTTTTTTAGTCTTTGGCTAGAGGCAATGTATATCATTATCTATATTCATTAAAGTTTGAGGTGTCTGTATCTATTTGAAAATGCAAAAAATCTTTCTATATAGAATAACTTTTGGAAGGATAACCTAAAAAAAAAAAAGCAACAGGATTGCTTAAAAATTTCTTATCTTCTACTTCTTGCCTTATTTTGCCCACCCATGCATATAAGAGGCAATATTCTAACACGGCCTTTCAGCTTTTTCCCAGTGCTTGCTCACAATGCTCATCTTGTATCCCAAGGACTGGAGACCTGCCATCATTGTTCTCCCTATCCCTGATGGAAGCCCTTGTAGTTAAACAACCTAGAGGCCTACCCTTGTTATTTTTTTTATTGCTGATCTTGGTGACAAATTTTGAGCCAGTGTACTTTGTGCAAAATTGTCATCACATAGATTCCTATCTGTTCATTATTTTCACTGATTTATATATGATTGAAATGAAAGGCATTTGGAAAGGAAGTATGCATGATTTTCGATTGTAGAAACACCTACCATGAGGTAAGGAATAGCACCTTCTAATTTGTTCTCCTTTATTTTTTCCAGTCTTAGCGCTTCACTATATTCCGAAATAGAGCAGAGTAAACAGTTGCATGTATTAGGGTGATCGAGTGTCAAAGGAGTGGTACCTGCTTTTCCCTAACAGTTAGTCTCAGTGAATGTAACTGTCTAATAACTGTCTTGCAAATAGAGGTAGAACTGTTTTTTTTAGCTCTGGGGTGAAGTGTTATACTTTATTGTAAACACTGGGCATAATATGCACAGGCAGGAAGGTTTTATCCTGTTGTCATGTTCCATAACTATTTTATCTTAAAGGGTCTTTACCTTTGGGCTCTGTAATCTCTTTGGAATCTGCAAATTCTGTGAATTCTTGGACTGCATATTGTATATGTCAGCACAGATTTTGGTCATTCAAATAATATTTCTACTGACCAAATAAATGTGTAGCCTTGTACTGCTCTGTTTAATTGTTCCTATCTGCACAAAAATAACTTAATCAGCTGATAAGATATGCATTCTGTGCACAAATGCTTATTATTTCGAATATAGGATGTTACTGAAGTTTGTACCATGTATGTGAACTGTGAATATTAAACAAAACCTTCCTATTACTTTGTTATTTGTGAATCAGGGATCATTATTATAAAATYATGTGAGCAGACTAAATCTGGAGTGAAACTTTTTGCAAAGCACATGGTAGCATAGGCCTTGCTGGCTGTTTTTGAGAAGCTGCAGGTTCCAAGCGTTCAAGGAATGTGACAGCAGGAGTTGCCATTCTGAGATGTATTAGTGGTCCAAAGCCATCAGGAGGAAGTACAGAGATGAAGTGTGGGCTGTGTTTGAGTGTCCTAGAAAGATCAGCCTGGTTCCTGTCTCCAGGGCAGAACTCAGATTTRTTTCCTCCTTTGGGTTACTCTGGGTGAGCTTCTGCCAGATTGTATTACACTGCTGTATGTGGTGTCATTTAAGATCATGGAAGTAACCCAGACTGAAAGCACGAAATTAAAGGATTTTTTTATGCTGTCCCTTACAGGGATATTTTAAATCGCAAATCCTAAGCTTATTTTTATATTTAATTTGAGGAGAGAAGCTGTGAAATCACCTTGGCTTGGAGTGCTTGTTTTGATATCCATTTAGTTAACAGTAAGTTCACAGATAGCTGATCCCAATGTGATAGAGGGAAATAAGGAAAGGAGTGCTTCCAATGATAATTTAGTGTCAAGAATGATATAGAATGCAATTTAGAATTAGGCAGGCATACTTCTCCACAATGCAAGGAATTTTAAATTCATCAGGCTTTATTGTGCTTTTAGATATAGATGTACAGCTAGAAAGAATTAGTCACTTCTACAATTCAGATTCTTCTATGCGTGTGTAATATGAAGTCTCATAGTCTCAGAAGTAAGTATTAAATCATCTACTCTGACACTTGTTATCATTAGTCATGGAGCTTCCCTGGAATACCTCTACTTGGCTCACAAGACATCTATTTCATCTGAAGTAATTGAGTCTGAAGATACTCGTTGAGTTAAAAGCAGCAGTTTGAGATAAAATTTATATTTCATTCTCATCTTCAGGTTAAAACCACGCATCATTTCTCACTCTGAAAATAAAGACTAGAAAGTAATCATCGTGAAGTGGTAGATCTTCACCTGTTTCATGTCATGGCTGCTCTGAAAAAAAATCTTTCAATCCTATATTTAAATTCTCTATCTAGTCAATAGAATTGTTTCTTGGAGYAATAATACTGGAGTCAGTAGCACTATTAACATTATATATGTCATTAATAAGAAATCAAAATTATCTAAAGAATTTGAAGCAAAAACACTAGATGTTTTTCTATGTAGTACATACATATGTGGTATCCCTATACTATTTCAAATTTGTCCTTCCCTGGGATTAAACTAYGCATATTTTTCTATAAACTGTGTTTTACATATGGCGATTGTTTTACTTTGTGTGATAATTTAAAATTAATTATGCAGTTCCATATGTGCTTGTCTAGAAGAAGTGGAAAAATACATTGGAGATGGTGTACAGATCTAATTTTGATCCTCAACAGAGAGTCAAGCGTCTTTATGCATTTTTTTCAGCACTTAGAAATCATGGTGGATTTGCATGGTATCACCAGTTAATACAGACAGCTGTATGCCAGTGAAATATTTACTGTATTTGTTTACACTTAAGGAAATAAGTAAATTTAGGAATAATGATGAATGCTACTAAAAATAATACTGTTAAGATAACCGAAAAAATCCAGGCTTTCTATGCCCTTATATGCATGTATAATAAATACGTTTTTACAGTTCAGAAAGGCTGCAATAGATCAAGCCTGTTTTCTCACAGCCAGGATGCACCACACAAGCTTAGCATTTCTATTTGCCTTTCATTTGTTAGACCAGGAAGGTTAAGTATTTTATTGGCCTGTTGGAGGAATGCTCATAGAAGAAATGTTAAAGAATCTTCTTTAGCATTAACAACCGTGTGTTGTAGTATATTTTTAAGGTAATAGAATAACTAGAAAATGAAGAAAAGTAGTGTTTTCTAGGACTGCCTTCAACCCTGTCATATATTTTATGTGAAAGTTTAACAATTCCACTCTGATATACATGAGACCTTCAGCCCATTTAACAAACGTTAGTGCTTCAATGAAAATAGCTCTTCTAATAATAACGTGCTGAGTATTTTGAAGGCAACATTTAATTGAGTAGCAATGAGGAAAAACTGTGCAAGTTGTTTGTGAAGTTGCAGTTAAGAAGATAGCATAACTTCAGCTTCACAAGGACTTCTAAAGAATACTTCTTTTTTCTTGGTGGATTTTTGAGTGCAAAAATATCCCTTTTCTTGTTACTGCTGTTTGGTGCTTTGTTTGTTTGTTTTACAAGAATGTAAGCCTGCTGAGTATAGTGTAAAATGAACCAGTTACAGCTTCTTAAGTTTTGTGATCAAGTGTTCAGATATTTTAAAACTAATTTTTATAATTTCCAAAACATACAGAAAGTTTATACTGAAATGCTTGATAAGTAACAGCTTAATTTACACTATGCTTGGATGATTGTAATGCATGTAGATATTTCCCTTGATGTGGAAATTGAAGAGTTGGAAAAATCAAACTGGAGGTTGCTAATCCCTCCAGTAATTACAGAACATGATATATTATCCCTCTCAAGGACATAGCAAGTTTTAGAGTTCAGGCCATTGTATAATGACAAGATATATGGGATCTTAATTTTATTAACCTTTATTGCAGAAAAATCAGTAAAGTATCAAAAATATGCAGTTATAAGATGCACAGTTAGAGGATGTGTTCTGACAGGTAATATACAAAMGGTAATTCCATTTTAGCCTTACTGTACAAACTGAAACTAGCTGGTGATATTTTTTCCTTGAACTCAACGGAAAAAAAATGAAGTGAAATTTTGTTTTTTGCAGTGCTTTTTGAAGCAATAGTTGTTGGCTTAAGCTGAGT